GTGCCTGAGCTGTGTGTTTTTCACCCCAAGGTGTTTAAGCAGCCCTGGCCAGGGATCATGCGCACGCTCTATGGAAAGCACCAGCAGTTTGAAACCATTTACTTCAAGAAGTTCCCTGGGTACTATGTGACAGGCGATGGTAAGGGGGTGCTGTGCTCACAGGGGCCTGGGGACAGCAGTGGAAATCTTGCCCTGTCCTGCCCTCAGAATCTCTTATCAGTTGCTCCAAGGGCTGGCACTGCTGTCTCACACTCATTTCTGGCTATTTTTAGGTTGCAGAAGAGATAAAGATGGTTATTACTGGATCACAGGGCGAATTGATGACATGTTGAATGTTTCTGGTAAGAAGGAGTTTTGTCTTCAGCGGGGACCAGTGTACTTTCTGACACCTTGCTTTGTGACACTTCTGCATCCATTTCATAAGCCACCTGCTTTATGGGGATGGTTCTGCATCTGTGATTCTTCCCAGCAATCTGTCCTCAAAGTGGATCCAGTTGCTGGGTCAGGGTTATTTCAGGGACACACGAGCCTGTGACTTGGTGACTTACTGCACCATTTTCTCTGGAGACAAAGCCTTGGAGGGAAGGAACCTTCTGTAACCAGCCAGGGCATCTCTGTTGAAGGATTTGGGCCACAGGGAATCACAGATTTTGGGCAGGACTATGGAATTGCTAATCTAAACTGCTGCTCCATGGAGGGCTCACCTCAAAGCTGGATCAGGCTGCTCAGAGCTCTGAAGATTCTCCCACCTCTCTAGACTGAGTCTTTTTGATTCAGCTGCTTCTCAGCCCATCATTTTCCATATACTCTATTTATGTAGTTCCCTCCATCCTTTCTTGGAGCCTGTATCCTCCAGGTATGTCCTGCTGGCTCTGAGGTGCTGCTTTACTTGTCCCTGGATCAAATCAGATCCTTTCACCTGACCAGCAGAGCCTGATACTCCACCAACTGATCATTCTGGGAGTTGACCACCTTCCTGTTGGGGTGGAATGTCAGAGCACAGGTACAGAAGCAGAGGTGTGCAGGGCTGAGTTGTGCCCCTGCCCAGGACATGGTGTGTCATTCCCCCTCCTTACAGCATTGGGCTGGAGCCTGGACTCTGCAGATCCAGCCTCTTCCTCTGCACCTTCCTGCTGACCATGTGGGCAGGTCTCCTCTTGCCAAATCCAGCTCCTCCTCAGCCCATGCTTTGGAAGGGCACCACTGTGACCTGTTGGTGATCTCTTCCAGAAAGCATCCTGAAGGTGGGAGGGGGAACAGCCAGGGGAGGTGGCTGACAGCTGGCAGCTTCCAGAGCTCTGCAGAAATGAGTTTCGCTCTCCAGCTCTTGTCCTTTCTCCAGCACATCAAACTGATGCTCTCAGATTTGTAGTTCAGGGCCTTTTACAGGCTCAGGCCTCTTCCTGCAGATCTATAAAGCTCTGCCTCCTCCTTGTTTCCAGGCCACTTGCTGAGCACGGCAGAGGTGGAGTCGGCCCTGGTGGAACACGCGGCAGTGGCCGAGGCTGCCGTGGTCAGCCACCCGCACCCCCTGAAGGGCGAGTGCCTCTACTGCTTTGTGACCCTGAGAGAGGGACACGAGTTCACCAAGAACCTCACGGATGAGCTCAAAAAACAAGGTAGCAACAGCCAAATATTGGGGAGCAGGCAGGGGGAGGAGAGGTGATGGAGGGGTTAAGGGCTTGAGTGCTTGCCTGTGGTCTGGGGAATGCAGCGTGGACGACTGCCACAAGGTGCCTCTTGATTACAGAGCACTGCTGACAAAGACTAAAATTAGTTCTCCTGGCCCTTGGCTGCTCATGTGATGCCATCTCTGCCTCATGGCAGCCCTGTGAGGGCCTGGGGTGCTCAGCAGGCTTTTGTTTGCAGCAGGGCTCTCCCTGGCAGACAGACATCCTGGGAGGATCACGGGGTTTCTTTAGGGTGGTGCTCTGCATGTTTGTGCTCTGCTCTCAAGGAGCTTCTTCACTGCAAACTGCTGCATTGAATACACAAAACAGACTCATGGCAGCTTCTCTGGAGGACCCAAGAGTGAATCAATCCTTGCTCTGTCAAAATGGTCATGGTGTTGGCTGTAGCTGTTAGAGAGGTCTCTGGAAGATGGAGGGAATGAATAAATGAGTGCTCTCACTGTTGGGGAGATGTCCATATGGCCCTGTTGGCATTGCAGATCTTGCTGTCCCCTCCCACCGTGTGGAGGATCAGCCCCAGGCATTGCCCTGCTGGGTGTCCCAGGAGCTGAGTTCTGTATCTTAACCTTCTATCCTTACTGGAAAAGATGTGTGGCTTCTTGTCCCTACAATGAAATTTATTTTTTTTTGCAGTCAGAGAAAAAATCGGGCCCATAGCAACACCTGATTACATCCAGTACGCCCCCAGCCTGCCCAAAACCCGCTCAGGTGAGTTCCAGGGATGGTGCTGGGGAGGACTGGACGGTTCCTGCCAGTGGAAGTTGATCAGTCCTGCTCTGCTTGTCCAGGGCTGCTCAGATTAGGGGAGGTGCAAGCTCAGGGTGAGCAGGATGCACAGGTCTGGTACTTCCCACTTCTGCTAAGGATGCTGAAGAGATATCCTGACTCCTGGGAGAGGGGCTTTTTGTATGGACAGATAATGAAGGTCAAGGAGGGGTGGTTTTAAACTGGTGGAGGGCAGGTGTAGATTAAAGAGACAGAAGGAAGGAATTGTTCCCTGTGAGGGTGGGCAGGCCTTGGCACAGGGTGCCCAGAGCAGCTGTGGCTGCCCCTGGATCCCTGTAAGTGTCCAAGGCCACGTTGGACAGAGCTGATCTTTAAGGTCCCTTCCAACCCAAACCACTCTGAGATTCCGACTCCTGCTTCCTTTTCTTGGTTGTCATTACAGGAAAGATCACCAGACGGATATTAAGGAAGATTGCCAAAAATGACCATGATCTGGGGGACATCTCCACCTTGGCAGACCCGGGCATCATCAAACAGCTTTTCAACAGCAGATGTGACACTAAGCAGTAGCAGCAGGAGCTGTCCCTGCTGAGCAGAACAGTGGCAGTGGCACCTGATGAGCAGGTCCCTCCAACAGCCGCTGCCTGCCCAGGAAGAAAACCTTCACCTGTTGAATTGAATGTACCAATCGTAGGAACGAGGGGAGTCTGGCTCTGGAGAGGCCGTGTCCATGCCCTGGATGAGGTGTCTGTTATGTTCCAGATGGATGTCACACATCTGAGGGTCAGCCTGCTACACAGAGGGACTCGTCCTCCTCCCTTTTCAGCACCTCGTTCTTGATTTTAATTTAATTTGGGGGGGTGGGGAAGAGGCTGTTAATTTACTTTTATGTCCTGGAGGGGCCCTTGTGCACAGTGGGAAGGAGCTTTGGGGGTTGGAGGGGAAGTGATGCTGGAGTTACTCAATGCAGGCAGGCCTGGGAGGTGCATCTGCCACTGCCCACAGAGCAGCTGAGCTTCCTTTTGTTCTCGGAGTGCTGCAAGTTGCAGGAGCGCTGCAGCAGCCACATCTTCACTGCACAGCCATGCTCATCCTGCATCCACTGTCCTTCTGCTAGCACAGCTTCCTGGAGCCTCCAGGTGAGTGGGGCAAGGCTCCAGGGAGCTCTGGGCTTTAAACAGGATTTTTGGGGCAATGTGATACCAAGATCTGCTGCTTCCTCACTGTATTGTGCCAGCTGGTGCATTGTCCCCAGTCCAGGGTCCTTCACTGGCCATGGACACTGCAGGGAGGCAGGAAGGGAAAAGCCTTGGTGTGACATGTTCCACAGAGCCCTGGTTCCTCCAGCCCTGCTGCCACCAGCTCACAGCTGAACCAGAGCTGGAGCAGCTGGATGTTCCTCTTGTGTCCTGGAGGAGGACTGGGAGCTGTTACACCAAAGGATGGAGGGGGGATGGAGCCAGGCAGAGGCACCTTTCCCATGGCACCACGACCACTGCTGTAGCAGAGAAACCAAGGCAGGCAGGGCTGTGGGAGTCCTACACATTTCCTCATCAGGAAAAAATGGTGGGAGATGTTTAAAGTCAGTGTTTGCTGATCAGAACTAAAGGCCCCCAAACCTCTTTCCCAAGAGCCTGACCACCACCACGGCCCTGCCAAAGCCATCCTTCCTCCAGTGAAGGACATTTAACTCCAGCCAGGGCTGAGCTGGGGCTGATACCTCCTTTGCAATGTCTCCATGAAACCTGCATGTGAACTGTCTTGATTTTGCACTTAAACCAAAGGAGAACTGGGTTTTAAAACTTGCTGCAACAGCTGTTTTGGGGAGTGCCAGTGGACAGGGATTACCTGCAACCTGAGCTGACTTGGGGCTGGAAAGGAGGAGCAGCTCTGGTTAGGGGTGCTCAGGGCTGATGTTGGGGTGCTCTGCTGGGCTGTTGGCCAAGTCCCAAATCTCACTTGTTACCTGCTGCTCTCACTGGCACAGCACCTGTGTCACCTGTAACCTTGGTGCCTGCCTGTGTCCCATGTGCCCCCACAGCTCTGTACCACTGGATTGTGCCACCTTGGTGACAAGGATTCCTCAGTCGTTGTTCCTCCTGTTACTCTTTATCAGCTATGTAATTTTGGCTGGAAAACAGTGAGAATTTAATGCAAAATGGAATAAAAATTCAAGAAAACAAAATGGAAACAGGCTTGGAGTGTGTGAGGGTGGTAGGTACTTGTGTGCTGTTGAGTCTAGGGTGTTCAGCGCAGAAACCAGGATTGGTGATGGGGAGGGGCAGGTTCCTGCCAGCATGATGCTTTTCCATGGACTGGGATTCATTGTGCCTGGCTGTGCTGGCTCCAGGGCAGCAGCCTGAGCCTCAATTTCTCTCTGGTCTCCAGCCAGTGCTGCTCCAATGCTCAGGGAAAGCACAAGACCCATCCCCTGCATGCAGCACTGGTGCCAGGGAGCTGGGTGAGGCTCAGGGCTGCTTCACCTCCAGCCCGGGCCTGGTCCCCTTCCAGGCACAGCCATGGATCTCTGCACACCTGGCCAGGTGTGCCCCTGGGCTCAGACAAACCTGGCACAAACAGCAGTCAGATTGCACATTCCTTTTAATCTCTGGCTTGGGGTAATCAATCCCCCAACAAACACCCAGGAATCCCAGTTTCAGTCATACTTGAAGAATGGAGCAGTTTCCCAGGTGACCGATTGATGATTGATGCCACAGCAGCAAAGAGCCAGCAGGGCTGTCACTCAGCACACCCATTCTGCAGGAATTCTGCTTTTGTGCTGGTTCTGCCATTCAGCACATCCATTCTTCAGGAATTCTGTCTCTGTGCAGAATTCTGTAACTGACAGGGCTGGGCTGAGGCTGTCTGGGCTCTTCACTGCCAGAAAGGTGCAGCTTTTAGGGCTGAGGAGGAAAGGGGGCTGGAGGAAGAGGCAGAAGACCTTGAGCAGGAGAGCTCACACTCCTCCACTGCTGTTCCCATTGATCCATAAAACCTGGAGGGAGCCACAGCTCCCCCTGCGCTGGTGCTGGTCCCAGAGTAAGACACTTGGAGCTGGGACTGTGCTGTCCAGCCTCCCCTGCAATTCTTTTACTTCCTCATCACAGAGCTCCCAGTCTCAACAGAACCATTCCCAAGGCTGGGGCTCCCTGACAGGAAGATGCTCAGTGTTTGATGTGCAGTGGGATGCACTGCCACAAACCTGAGGTGATTTGGGATTTATCAACACACACGAGGCTCCAATTCACTGCTGCCTTGGGAGCTGCCTCCATCTCTGAGGGGTTCTTACATCAGCCTCTGGAGATGTGTTGGACAGGCCTGCAGGAGGCAGTGGGAGCCTGCCCTAGACCCTGCACTGCTGCCTGCCCTGCGTGGCACAGAGGCACTGTTTGGGACAAGCACTCAGTCCAATAAAACAGGAGTTGGGCAAAGCAAAAGCAAGCAAGAGGCCCTTGGGCAAAATACCCAGGGCAGCTGTGCCTGGTGCAGGAACCCTGAGGATCCTCAGGCACAAGGGAAAAGAGACATCAGGACAGCAGCAGCACGGAAAGGAGGGCTGGAGGGGCTGAGTGGAGCTGAGCTCTCCTCTTTAAGCTCCTCTTTAAGGGGAGAGGACTGAGGCACTGGATGAAGATAAAGGCTGATACTTGCCCATCCACTTTTCTCCTCTCATTCCTTAGGCTGTGTATGTCTCCAGAAATCATGCAGCATCAAGAAGCTCGGAAGTGGGAGCAGCACAAAGGCCTGTTATGGCACATTGACCCTTTGCTCTACGTTCCCTTGCCCTCAGGCCAGGCCCCAAGGGAACATCCAGAACCCTGCAGTCCCGGGAGTCACAGCTGGGCAGTGCCCAGGGCAAGGCCCCCTGAGCAGGCAGAGCAAGGGAATCCTTCTTCCTGGAAGGGGAATCACCAGAAGAAGCTGGGGCTGGCACCCAGGACCTTTGAGCAGCTGCATCACACAGTCCCTCCTCACAGCCTCCAGCACAACTTGGCAAGCACACTCTAAGGAGAACCCCCTGGGGCAGATCAGCTCTTCAGGCAGCAGAGAGGAGGGTGGGGCCATGGCTCCTCACACCAGGTAGGGCGTGTCCAGCACGGCCACCCCGGCAGCCACGCCGCCGTCGGCGTGCTCGATGGCCTTGGTGCGCAGCAGGTGACCGGCGGCCTCGTTCAGCACCAGCTCCTGGCCCTGCCTGCAAAGGACACGGAAACTGAGCCCCTGCAGAGCACCCAGCTCCTGCCATTTCTCTGGGGGCAGCAGGATGCACCTTCCCTGTCAGCACACAGGGCAGGGCAGAGCCCCAGGGAGCCCTGCAGTGGTGGCTGCACCAAACATTCTGCAAATGGGCAGTGCCAGGGGCTGCATGCTGCCAAAGCTCCTTTGTTCCCAAAACCGTGCAAAGGACTTTCATTTATACCCTATAGAAACGTGGCCTATAAGGGTTTTAAACAAAAGCAGCTCCTATTAGGGTTGAACAGGCATTGGGCCTTCAGGTATTTCAGAAATCACCAGGACTTCAGAAAAATCAACATGCATCCAGAACCCAAGAAGTGCTCCCAGAAATCAGGGATGAGACACACTGATCCCAAGATCCCATTACACCAGTAAATGCCAGCACGAGCTCTATGGTTTTCCAGCAGCTCTTTTGGCAGAGGGTTCAGAGCAGCAGCTCAGCGTGTGCACATGCACTCAGAGCTGCTGCCAGGGGCACAGACTGAATGGTCACATCTGTCCCCTGCCTCTGCCTGTCCCCAGACATCTGTCCTGTGGCTGTGCTTGGGCAGCACTGAGGGCAAAATGCCCTTGGCTCCATGCAGGAGCAGGGAACTGCCCTGGAACACAAGCACATTCCTCACCTGACATAGACACCAAAGATCCCAAGCTCAGAAATGCACTCGGACACTTGGAGGGGACTGTGAGCCCTCAGCAAGTAATTCAGTGCTGGCTGGGGTCTGATCTTATCCATCAAGATGTAGGAGGTTCTCTCAGGGCTGTCTTTGATCTTCTCCAGAACCTCCCTGAGCTCTTCACCATAGAGGTTGTTCCCTGGAAACAAAACCAGCACATCAAGCCCTTCCAGGACAGCAGAAGCCCCTGGCCCCAGCTATGTGGCCCTGACAGCTGAAATAACCCAGCCCTTTTCTCCCCAGGTGCTACATGGGCTCTCCACACCCAGCACCAGGGCCTTGGGAACTCCTCCAGAGCAACACTGCCTTAGTGGCAGGACTAGTCCCCATGGCTATAAGTAGCCACAAGCCACCCTTTATCCCTCAACACAAGATCAGCAGCTGACACAGCTACTGCCTGTCTCAAATACAGCACAAACCACAATGGAAA